CAAGCAAGAAAGAATTCAGACACCTCCGGATGGTAAAGTGAAAACAAGTTTATTAGGAAAGTAAAGAAATAAAAGAATGGCTATTCCATAGCCAGAGCAGCCCCGAGGGCTACTGGTTGACTACTTTTATGATTATTTATTGATTATATACTAAACAAGGGGTGGATTATTTATGAGCTTTCTGGGAAAGGCATGGCAATTCCCGGAACTGATGGCTCTTCCCCTTTTTAGACTTATTGGATAATTTCCTGACTTTGCCATGACATCTGTAAACCTTCATGGTGCTGGTGGGAGTGTCTTTTGGTGTGCTAATGAATTATAAGCATATAATGAGCAGTGAGGATGACGAGGGGTCGCTTTTTGTCGCCATCTTGGTTTTGGTGGTCTTTGGCTGGCTTCTTTACCACATGCTGGTTTTATCAGCAAAATCTTTGTGACCTGTACCTTGGGCTGTAGGAATTGAAGAAATTTCTTCACATTCCTGTGACGTAGAATGCCTGATATCCTGGTAATGCAGCCCAGGAGGTCTCAGCCTCATTTTACCCTGCTCTAATTCAAGATAGAGTTGCTCTGGTTCAAAGGCCTCTGACCTAAGTGTTTGACATAGTTGACCAGTCATTCCTTTTTCTTGAAAAGGCTGTCTTCTCTTTTTTTTTTTTTTTGAGACGGAGTCTCACTGTCACCCAGGCTGGAGTGCAGTGGCCGGATCTCAGCTCACTGCAAGCTCCGCCTCCTGGGTTTACGCCATTCTCCTGCCTCAGCCTCCCGAGTAGCTGGGACTACAGGCGCCCGCCACCTCGCTCGGCTAGTTTTTTTTTTTTTGTATTTTTAGTAGAGACGGGGTTTCACCGTGTTAGCCAGGATGGTCTTGATCTCCTGACCTCGTGATCCGCCCATCTCAGCCTCCCAGAGTGCTGGGATTACAGGCTTGAGCCACCGCGCCCGGCCGAAAAGGCTGTCTTCTGTTTCTTTTTTTGTTATTTATTTATTTTTTGAGACAGGGTCTCACTCTGTCACCCAAGATGGAGTGCAGTGGTGCCATCCCGGCTCACTGAAACCTCCACCTCACAGATTCAAGCAATTCTTCCGCCTCAACCTACCAAGTAGCTGGGAGTACAGGTGCGCACCACCACACCTGGCTATTTTTGCGTTTTTAGTAGAGACAGGGTTTCATCATGTTGGCCAGGTTGGTCTCAAACTCCTGGCCTAAGGTGATCCACCTGCCTCGGCCTCCCAAAGTGCTGGGATTACAGAGGTGAGCCACTGCACCTGGACTTATTTATTTTATCTTTTTGAGATAGGGTTTCACTCTGTCACCCAGGCTGGAGTGCAGTGGCACGATTTCTGCTCACCGTAGCCTTGACCTCTGGGCTTGAGTGATCCTCCCACCCAGCCTCCCAAGCAGCTGGGACTACAGGCGGGTGCCATCACACCTGGCTAATTTATTTATTTATTTTTTGAAAAGGAATTTCGCTCTTGTTGCCCAGGCTGGAGTTCAATGGCTGATCTCAGCTAACTGCAGCCTCCGCCTCCCAGGTTCAAGTGATTCTCCTGCCTCAGCCTCCGGAGTAGCTGGGATTACAGGGGTGCGCCCCCACACCTGGTGAATCAAGGTCACAAATGCCTCCCCTTTTTTTTTTTTGAGACCGAGTCTCGCTCTGTCACCCAGGCTGGAGTGCAGTGGCGCCATCTCGTCTCACTGCAAGCTCCGCCTCCCAGGTTCACGCCATTCTCCTGCCTCAGTCTCCAGAGTAGGCTGGGACTACAGGTGCCTACCACTGCCCCCGGCTAATTTTTTGTATTTTTAGTAGAGACAGGGTTTCACCGTGTTAGCCAGGATGCTCTCGATCTCCTGACCTTGTGGCCTCCCAAAGTGCTGGGATTATAGGTGTGAGCCACCGCGCCCGGCCATTTTTTTTTTTTTTTGAGACGGAGTTTTGCTTTGTCGCCCAGGTGGGTGTGCAATGACATGATCTCAGCAAACCGCAGCCTCTGCCTCCCGGCTTCAAGCGATTCTCTTGCCTCAGCCTTCAGAGTAGCTGAGATCACAGGTGCCTGACACCAGACTCAGCTAATTTTTATGTTTTTAGTAGAGACGAGGATTCACCTCATCTCTACTAAAGAGCTTGGCCAGGCTGGTCTCAAGCTCCTGACCTCAAGTGATCTGCCCGCCTCAGCCTCCAAAAGTGCTGCTATTACAGGCGTGAGCCACCGCGACAGCCCCAAGTGACTCTCATGGGCTGGAGACACAGGCTATTATGAATTGCTAACCACAGTCTCTTAGTCTTCCTTTTAAATAACAAAAGAGGAAATTTCTTCACTTCCTGACACAGCTCTCCATCATACAAGAGCAGTTAGCGACTTTCTTTTTTTTGTTGTTTTTTGTTTTTTGTTTTTTGAGACGGAGTCTCGCTCTGTCGCCCAGGCTGGAGTGCAGTGGCGCGATCTCGGCTCACTGCAAGCTCCGCCTCCCGGGTTCACGCAATTCTCCTGCCTCAGCCTCCCCAGTAGCTGGGACTACAGGCGCCCGCCACCTCGCCCGGCTAGTTTTTTGTATTTTTTAGTAGAGACGGGGTTTCACCGTGTCAGCCAGGATGGTCTCGATCTCCTGACCTCGTGATCCGCCCGCCTCGGCCTCCCAAAGTGCTGGGATTACAGGCTTGAGCCACCGCGCCCGGCCCTCTTTTTTTTCTTAAGGCACATTTTCGCTCTTGTTGCCCAGGCTGGAGTGCAATGGCGCGATGTCGGCTCATGGCAACCTCCACCTCCCAGGTTCAAGCGATTCTCCTGCCACAGCCTCCCTGGTAGCTGGGATTAGAGGCATGTGCCACCACACCCAGCTAATGTTTTTTTTTTTTTGAGACGGAGTCTCGCTCTGTCACCCAGGCTGGAGTGCAGTGGCCTGATCTCGGCTCACTGCAAGCTCCGCCTCCCGGGTTCACGCCATTCTCCTGCCTCAGCCTCCCAAGTAGCTGGGACTATAGACTCACACCACCACGCCCAGCTAATTTTCTTTTGTATTTATTTATTTTTTTTTTTGAGACGGAGTCTCGCTCTGTCGCCCAGGCTGGAGTGCAGTGGCCGAATCTCACCTCACTGCAAGCTTCGCCTCCTGGGTTCCCGCCATTCTCCTACCTCAGCCTCCCGAGTAGCTGAGACTACAGGCGCCCGCCACCTCGCCCTGCTAATTTTTTGTATTTTTTTAGTGGAGACGGGGTTTCACCATATTAGCCAGGATGGTCTTGATCTCCTGACCTCGTGATCCGCCCGTCTCGGCCTCCCAAGGTGGTGGGATTACAGGTGTGAGCCACCACACCCGGCTGGCCTCATTTTTTAAGGAGACCAAAAGACTGAATTCTATAAAAATGCCTTAACTTCTTTAGTTCTAAAGCCCAGTTTTAGATGTTAGCCACATTTATTCCCATTTTAACATCTTCCTTCTAGGTGTATTTTCACATATTCATTTTAGGATTCTTGCCTCTACATTTACTTGTAACTTTCCCATTTCTAAATTGTAGCCCTCCCAGCACTTTGGGAGGCCGAGGCGGGCGGATCACAAGGTCAGGAGATCGAGACCACGGTGAAACCACGTCTCTACTAAAAATACAAAAAATTAGCCGGGCGCGGTTGTGGGCGCCTGTAGTCCCAGCTACTCAGGAGGCTGAGGCAGAATGGCGTAAACCCAGGAGGCGGAGCTTGCAGTGAGCCGAGATCGCGCCACTGCACTCCAGCCTGGGTGACAGAGCAAGACTCCGTCTCAAAAAACAAACAAAAAAAAAAATAAAAAAAATAAATTGTAGCCCTTTGATTTCTTTCAAACCATTCTCTGACAACTCAAACTCAGTTTATTTTTCTTGGAATTCCTACATAGCTATCTGTAAACTAACTGTTATGTTTTAGCCAGCCTGGGACAGTCCTTGTTTTCATTTATTGTCCTAATATATAATTATGGCTATCCCAATCAGAAGCTACTTTGTAGATTAAAATGTCTGTAGAGAATTTGCTTAAGAGCAGAAAGTTTACAATATACTCAAAATCTTCCCCTTCAGGAGGCAGCCTTTTCACATATCTCCTACCTCCTCTTCAACTCCCTACCAAGCTCTTATATGTCGAGGAGTTACAATGTAAACTCCTCAGAGGACACAGAAGCCCCAGTGTGCATTCAGAAAGATTGGAGTTCAGTGAAGGGGCTGATTACTAGATACAGAAGAATCAGGATCTGCTAACAGTTAACATCTGGGAAAGTGGAAATGAGAAACTAATTTTTTTTGAGACAGTGTCTCACTCTGTCACCCAGGCTAGAGTGCAGTGGTGATCTCAGTGATTACTCAGTGATTCTATTTTTTGTAGATGCAGGGTTTTGCCATGTTTCCCAGGCTGGTGTCAAATTCCTGGGCTAAAGTGATCCACCTGCCTTGACCTCCCAGTGTTGGGATTACAGGTGTGAGCCATCCTGCCTGGTCAGAAATGAGAAACTTTATAGTCAGGTTGTATTTCCTAGTTAGGAAGGTCCTAACAGCCTAGTAAAGTAACTTTTTTTTTTTTTGAGACATAGTCTCACTGTGTCGCCCAGGCTGGAGTGCAGTGGCGCGATCTCGATCTCGGCTCACTGCAAGCTCTGCCTGCCGGGTTGACGCCATTCTCCTGCCTCAGCCTCCCGAGTAGCTGGGACTACAGGTGCCTGCCACCACACCCAGCTTATGTTTTTGTATTTTTAGTGGAGACGGGGTTTCACTGTATTAGCCAGGATGGTCTCGATCTCCTGACCTCGTGATCCGCCCCTCCTTGGTCTCCCAAAGTGCTGGGATTACAGGTGTGAGCCACTGCGCCTGGCCAGTGACTTGTTAAAAGAGGTATAAAGTCTGAGATTTTAAGCGGGAAATCTGTGGCACTAAATCTTATCAAATGAGGGAGGCCTTAGGAGTAATTAACAAATTATTAGAACCTTTACAAGTTTTTTGTTTGTTTTGGGGGGGGCGGGGAAGAGACCAGTCATTGACTGAGTTCATCCAACAAGAAGCCATAACTTTATTTATGATAGAAACAGTACAAATTTCAAACCAAGCTGTAGTTACTCCTTTGAGACACCAAAAAAAGTTGCTTTCAGATGGTTACATTGTTAATTCCTGTAAGAGAGAAAAGATAATTAGCGGTTCTTATAGGCAAATCAGGAGAACTCAGGTCACTAAAACCTACGGCAACTCAGAAGAGGCTCTGGAATGAGGTTCCCTAATTGGCTGATATTTAGCAGACAAAATAAAGTCACTCGTAATTGGTCAGGGCAGAGGGAGTCAAGGAACAAAGGCTTGAACACTTACCATAATCGCATTTACAATATCATTACTGTTGTTCTTCAGGGCTCGGACTGCCTTAGCTCTCGACACATTTGCTTGTGACATGACCAATTCTATGTCTTTAACTTCTACACCTGTTTCATCGACCTAAGAGAGGAGAGGGAAAAAGCAGTAAATTAAAGGCAAAAACAATTTCAGCAGTTCTTTGGAGTCTCCTCAATCTAGTTTTTTTTTTTTATTTTATTTATTTATTTATTTTTTTTGAGACGGAGTCTCGCTCTGTCTCCCAGGCTGGAGTGCAGTGGCCGGATCTCAGCTCACTGCAAGCTCCGCCTCCCGGGTTCACGCCATTCTCCGGCCTTAGCCTCCCGAGTAGCTGGGACTATAGGCGCCCGCCACCTCGCCCGGCTAGTTTTTTGTATTTCTTAATAGAGACGGGGTTTCACCGTGTTAGCCAGGATGGTTTCGATCTCCTGACCTCGTGATCCGCCCGTCTCGGCCTCCCAAAGTGCTGGGATTACAGGCTTGAGCCACCGCGCCCGGCCTCCTCAATCTAGTTTTTAATATAGCTCACCAACACGAACACATTGCTATATGGCGACAGTTAACATATGAAAGATTTCCTAGTATACCTCTTCCTCTTCACTCTCCTCTTGTACGGTTGGAGTCTGTGTGTTTTCTTGAATGTTTGAGACAGCTTCACCTTGAACTTTGAATTTCTCAGCAGCTGCTAGTTGTGCTTGCTGGGATAAATCTTCGATCTACAGGGTAGAGAATACAGATTCATGTGAGTAGATCAGCAGTCTTTGAAAAATAAATCATATAGTTTCACAACTCTCTGTAAACCCACTTCAGGTAACTTATTGTACGGCTTTAAACTGCTTGCCCTTACTCACAGTAGAAAGAGTAGTTTTTAGGTTTAGAGCAAGTGGTTCTCAACTAGGGGGTAGTTATATGTTCCAGGAGATATATGGCAATGGAGTTTTTGGGTAATCAAAACTGGATGTAATGCTGCTAAGCATCCATAATGAACAGGATAGCCCTTCCATAACAGAGAACTACCAGAGGCAAAATGTCAGCAGTGCTGAGGTTGAGAAACCCTGGTCTAGAACAATGCCCAAGAAAAGTTTACTCACCTTGGCTTCCCCAAAAACTATGTAAGTATCTGAAGCAGGGCTCTTGTAGACATCTGGTTTTGTGATGACAAAGAGGATATTCTTAGATTTCCGGATAGTGACTCTAGTAACTCCTGTAACCTGTCGAAGACCCAGTTTGGACATAGCCTAAAGAAGAGAAAATAGTATAAGGTTTGCAACCTCTTTAGAAGCAGCCTAAAGAAGCAAGGAACATAATACAACATCCAAAGCAAAGCTTTTCCCCAGGCTGAGAAAAGTTCATACAAGAATAGAGAATGGGGCCGGGCGCGGTGGCTCAAGTCTGTAATTCCAGCACTTTGGGAGGCTGAGACGGGCAGATCACGAGGTCAGGAGATCGAGACCAGCCTGGCTAACACGGTGAAATCCCGTCTCTACTAAAAATGCCAAAAAAAATTAGCCAGGTGAGGTGGCGGGCGCCTGTAATCCCAGCTACTTGGGAGGCTGAGGCAGAAGAATGGCGTGAACCCGGGAGGCAGAGCTTGCAGTGAGCTGAGATCCGGCCACTGCACTCCAGCCTGGGCGATAGAGTGAGACTCCGTTGCAAAAAAAAAAAAAAGAGAATGGGTTTTCTGCCATAGTAACTTCTGCTACTTTATTTTTTAATTTTTGGAGACAGGTCTTGCTCTGTCGCCCAGGCTGGAGTGCAGGAGTGCAATCTCGGCTCATTGTAACCTCCGCCTCCCAGGTTCAAGCAACTGCCGTGCCTCAACCACCTTTGTAGCTGGGACTACAGGAGCGTACCACCATGCCCTGCTATTTTTTTTTTTTGGTATTTTTAGCAGACAGGGGTTTTGCCATGTTGACCAGGCTGGTCTTGAACTCTTGACCTCAAGTGATCCACTCGCCCAGGCCTTCCAGAGTGCTGGGATTACAAGTGTGAGCCACCAATCCAGCTACTTCTGCTACTTTAAACAGGATTCTACCACTACTAAGAATTGGGTTCAGTGTATACTGCTTGGGTGATGGGTGCACTAAAATCTCAAAAATCAACACTAAAGTACTTACTCGTGTAACCAAAATACCACCTGTTCCCCAAAAACCTATGGAAATAAAGAGTTCCACTCTGTATAAAGGTGCTTCATTAGATCCTGAAATCCTTTTCAAATCTTACCTTCCGTGCCTTCTTTTCACTCCGACTCTGTTTTGCTTTACTGACTGGTTCTTCATCAATTTCAGCTGCTGCCGCCAGCTAAGATAAAACAGGTATTAGTTAACCAGAATCCAAGATCTGGATAGCACAATTTCCTTGTGGGTTCTCCTTTATGAAGGTTCACAGTTCCAAATACAAAAGTTGCCCTGATCGGCCGGGCGCGGTGGCTCACGCCTGTAATCCCAGCACTTTGGGAGGCCAAGGCGGGCGGATCACAAGGTCAGGAGATCGAGACCACGGTGAAACCCCGTCTCTACTAAAAATATAAAAAATTAGCCGGGCGCGGTTGTGGGCGCCTGTAGTCCCAGCTACTCGGGAGGCTGAGGCAGGAGAATGGCGTGAACCCGGGAGGCGGAGCTTGCAGTGAGCCGAGATCGCCCCACTGCACTCCAGCCTGGGCGACAGAGCGAGACTCCGTCTCAAAAAAAAAAAAAAAAAAAAAAAAAAAAAAAGTTGCCCTGATCAACCCTGCTTCCTTGACCCAATACCAGTTAGTAAGAGAATACCCACCTGGGCTTGTTGTGTGGTTGCCTGGGTGGAATCCTGTTCTTCAAGCTCTGGTACTGATTCATCACTATCAGATTCTGTTCCAGACCCTAAAATGAGAAACAACTTTTACTGCTTTATAGTAGAAATTATAAGAGAAGGTACTTGACTACATCCTGCCTGGACTACAGGTCAATGCTTCATGCAAGACCTAAGAATGTTAAATGTAAACCAACTGGCTTGTGTGAGGCCAGCTTGATAGCCCCTAACTTAGTCACTAACTAGTGGGTACACATCTAGTAAAGACCCAGCCCTAACCCCAGAAATGAAAAGTAATCACTAGAAATAGCTGAGCAGTTTAACATACTGTAACTGCTTTCTTTCTCTCAAGGTCTTTGTTTCTTGGCACAGGCAAATAATGACCCCTATGACTGACTCTAAATTTTACCCAACAGTCCAATTATCCCTGTAAAATTCTGTCAGAAGGTGCCCCCAGATACACTTAAGTGAAAAAAACAAAATCACACCATGGAGGCACAATAGGTAGGTTGGATTTCCCCTCAACTTTTTTTTTTTTTTTTTTTTTGAGACGGAGTCTCACTCTGTCACCCAGGCTGGAGTGCAGTGGCGCCATCTTGGCTCACTGCAAGCTCTGCCTCCCGGGCTCACGCCATTCTCCTGCCTCAGCCTCCCCAGTAGCTGGGACTACAGGCGCCCATCACCACGCCCGGCTAATTTTTTGTATTTTTTTTTTTAGTAGGGACGGGGTTTTACCATGTTAGCCAGAATGGTCTTGATCTCATGACCTTGTGATCCGCCCGCCTCGGCCTCCCAGAGTGCTGGGATTACAGGCGTGAGCCACCAAGCCCGGCCTTTTTTTGTATTTTTGGTAGAGACAGGGTTTCACTGTGTTAGCCAGGATGGTCTCCATCTCCTGACCTCGTGATCCGCCCGCCTTGGCCTTCCAAAGTGCTGGGATTACAGGCCTGAGCCACCGCGCCCGGCCATTCCCTCAACTTTTAAACGGGGTTGGAGCAAGTCAAAAGCAGTCACATGCACATATTCAGCCTCATTTTCAAACCATTCACCCCAGCAATGTGATCTAATCAATATAGTTAGAAGATTCTCAATGATGTTGACCTGTATCTCTTAATTTTTCCAAACATAATTCACATAAATTTATTTCAATTCAAAGGCCAAGCATCAGTAAAGACTACTGAGGAAAAAAAGCATATACCTGCACCATTTTCAGGCTAGGAAAAACAGGTTTCTACATTTTTATGAGAAGGAAGTCCCTGGGCACCTGGTCATTACTAAGTCTAAGAATTGAAAAAGAAATACAAATAGTTCAATTCTCCAATGTTTTAGCAAATCTCAGGCCCAGGGACAAGGTTAGTTAGTGATGTGGTAGGGATTAGAGCAAATTAAAAGGTCTGGCAGGTCTTGGTTTTCAATGTCAGATCAATTAGGTAAAATAGATGGCATGGTAGGCTCAGGGTAGTCCGGGCCACATTGTACTGAATGATACACAATACACTATATATCTATCTGAAGTGATGAAAACCAAGATTTTGTTTCATATTCCTAGAGCTTTTGCATTTAAAATGATCATTCTATGTTCTATGTCCAAACCCAAGCAGATTCACTGGAGAAAGCGGCGCATCACAGGGTTAGTATTGGTGGGTAGCCCCCAAGAGGGGTGTGGGCAACAGACACACCATGCACACGGCAAACCAAGGCAAATACCCTTGTTGTTCTTCATAACAGGCTGCTTGGCAGAGGGGGTTGGGACAGGGATTCCAGCAGCTTTGGGGGTGGGCATGTTGACGAGGACTGACTGGAAAGGCACTCCCCCAGAGATTGGTTCCGGGGGTATCAGAGGCGGCAGCTCATCCTCATCAGCAGGGGCTAGGGGTTTAGAGGGTGATTCCAACACCAGCCCAGGAGAGGACAGCAAAAATTGCTGTTTAGGAGGCAGAGTGGGAACTGGGGAGGGAGCAAGAGGCAGAGAGACTGGTGGGGTGGGTGGTGGAGAGACAGATGCTGATTCAGGTTTAGGAAGGACCTTCTCAGAGGCAGCTGCTGTTAGAGGGGTGGATGCCTTAGACTCAGGAGGAGCCAAGGGGCCCTTTGGGGAATGAGAAGCATCTTTGCCTTTTGATGTCTTTGAAGAGCATTTCTGAGCAGGGAGTAGAGGGGCTGGAGCCACTGTGGAAAGGGGTCCTTTAGAACCATTGTTAGCTGAGGGATCTGGACACATAGGAGGTGAAGTGGCAGAACTCTTTTTGGTCTGTGGACCTTTCCGAGTGGGAGCTGTGATGACTGGCGTACTTTCTGGAGCTGGGGCAACAAGTACTTCTTTGAGAGCTGTGGGGCCTTTCTTTGCTGGAAGCCCTTTAGATGCTTGAGGAACAGTGGCCCCCATTTTACATGTGACAGAAACTGGGGAGGCAGGGAAGTCTTTGAGGGAGGAAGGAGTCACAGGTGGGGAAGTGGGGGTCCCTTTGGGGGCTGGAGTTGCTGGGCCCTTTTTGGGGGATGGAGGAGTCACAGCTGGAGGAGTAGGGGCCTCTTTGGGAGATGGGGCCCCTTTGTAAGAGGAAGGAGTCACTGCTGGGGGACTGGAGGCCTCTTTGGAGGATGGGGTAGCCGGGGCTTCTTTGGGGGCTGGAATTGCTGGGCTCTTTTTGGGGGAGGGAAGAGTCATAGCTGGGGGAATGAGGGCCTCTTTGGGGGCTAGAGTTGCTGGGGTATTTTTAGAGAGAGGAGTCGCTATTTGGGCAATGGGGTCCCTTCTGGAGGATGGGGTAGCTGGGACCTCTTTGGGGGAAGAAGGAATCACAGCTGGCAGAATGGGGGCCCCCATGGGGGCTGGAGTTGCCGGGGCCTTTTTGGGAGAGGAAGAAGTGGGAGCTTGTTTGGGGACTGAGGGCTCCTTGGGGGAAGGAGGAGTCACTGCTGGGAGGGTGGGATCCCCTTTGGAGGATGGGGTAGCTGGGCCTCCTTTGGGGGCTGAAGTTGCTGGGGCCTTTTTGAGGGAGACAGGAGTCACTGCTAGGGGAGTGGTATCGCCTTTGGATGGGGTGGCTGGGCCTTCTCTGGTGACTGGAGTTGCTGGAGCCTTTTTGGGGGAGAAAGGAATCACTGCTGGGGAAGTGGGGTCCCCTTTGGGAGATGGGATAGCTGGTCCTCTTTTAGGGGAGGGAGGAGTCACAGCTGGACCTCCTTTGTGGGAGGGAGTTGCAGCTGGGGGGGTGGGGTCCTCTTTGGAGGATGGGGTAGTTGAGCTTCCTTTAGAGGAGGGAGTTGTAGTTGGGAGAGTGGGGGTCCCTTTGGGGGAGGGAGGAGTTGCAGCTGGGGGAGTGGGGGCCCCTTTGGGGGGTGAGGTAGCTGGATCTCCTTTTGGAGAGGGAGAAGTTACAACTGAAGGACTGGGGGCCTCTTTGTGGGGTGGGGCAGCTAGATTTCCTTTTGGGGAGGGAGGAGTTGCTGCTGGGGGAGTGGGGGCACCTCTGGGGGATGGGGTAGCTGAACCTCCTTTTGGGGAGGGAGGAGTCACAGCTGGGGGAGTGGGAGCCCCTTTGTGGGGTGGGATAGCTGGGCCTCCTTTTGGGGAGGGAGGAGTTGCAGCTGGGGGTGTGGGGGCCCCTTTGGAGGATGGGGTAGCTGGACCTCCTTTTGGGGAAGGAGTTGCAGCTAGGGGTGTGGGGGCCCCTTTTGGGGAAGGTGGAGTTGCAGCTGGGGGAGTGGGGGCCCGTTTGGGGGATGGGGTAGCTGGGCCTCCTTTTGGGGATGGGGTAGCTGGGCCTCCTTTTGGGGATGGGGTAGCTGGGCCTCCTTTTGGGGAGGAAGGGTTTGCAGCTGGGGGAGTGGGGGCCCCTTTGGGGGATGGGGTAGCTGGGCCTCCTTTTGGGGAGGGAGGGTTTGCAGCTGGGGGAGTGGGGGCCCCTTTGGGGGATGGGGTAGCTGCTGGACCTCCTTTGGGGGAGGGAGGAGTTGCAGCAGGGGGTGTGGGGGCCCCTTTGGGGGATGGGGTAGCTGGGCCTCCTCTGGGGGAGGGAGGAGTTGCAGCTGGGGGTTTGGGGGTCCCTTTGGGGGATGGGGTAGCTGGGCCTCCTTTGCGGGGAGGAGGAGTTGCAGCTAGGGGTGTGGGGGCCCCTTTGGGGGATGGGGTAGCTGGGCCTCCTCTGGGGGAGGGAGGAGTTGCAGCTGGGGGTGTGGGGGTCCCTTTGGGGGATGGGGTAGCTGGGGCCTTTTTGAGGGAGGAAGAAGTCCTGGATAGAGCGGGAGGAGCGGGAGCCTGTTTGGGTGCTGGGGTAGCTGGACCCTCTTTGGGGAAGGGCAGATTCACAACTGAAGGAGTGGAGGTCTCTTTGGGGGTTAGTGTTACTCTTTTGGGAGACAGAGGAGTCACAGCTGAGGGAGCAGGGGCCCCTTTGGGGGATGGAGGAGTGGGAGAATGCTTCCTGGCGGGTGAGTCTTTAGAGTCTTGGAAAGAAAGAATATTCTCTGGAAGAAACGAAGCTTCAACTGGAGAAACAGGGGACGAGAGATTTCCAACAGGAGTATCAGGGCCAGCAGAACCCTTCTTGGTTGGAGGTCTTTTAGTCTGAGACACACTAACCCCTAAAAGAGATGGGGAGTCAGCTAGGTAAGTCAGAGATCCTTTGGAAGATGCAGTAGCAGAAGCACCAGAGTCCTCAGTTGGGCACTCTTTGGGAGAGGAAGCAACAGGTGCCAATGCTGAAGTATGAGAAATACCATCAACCTTTTTTGTACCTGGAGGAGTCCCAGCTGCGGGAAGAGAGGGTGAGGGCACAGACTTTGGGATTTCAGGGGCCAGCACTAAGGTAGCCAGAGGAGCAGAGGTATTCTGGGGGGATGGAGCCACAGGGCAATCTGAAGCTGTAGGAACCAAGGATAAAGTAGTAAAAGTGGAAGTACCTTCCTTAACTGGGTGGTTTTCAGGAGCTAAAGAGACAGTTCCTTCTAGAAAAGGGCTGGCTGTAGCTGTATAAGTTGAGGTACCTTTAGCAGTTGTGGGAGCCACCCCAGCAGGGTCAGCACTTTGCAAAGGAAATGCAGTCACTGTTGGGGTAATGAGAGAACTTTTGAGAAGCAGACCAGCAGAGTCTGGGTCTGCATAAGAATCTGTCTTGATTACAGAGGCCGAGGAGGAGTTAACACCCAGCGGGGAGGTCACAGTGCTGGTTGGCTTACCTATAGGGAGAGGGCCTTCAAGGCTTTTCTTTGCTACGGTGGTTTCAGGAGAAAGAGATATCTCTGGAGAAGAGGATGTACTTTGGAAAGAAGGGGAATTTTTACGAACTGTCTGGGCTAATGGTAACACAGTAGGGTCTTTCTTGGTGGTGAGTTCTGCTTGGGCTGGAGAGAAAGCAGCTCCGTCAGGAGAGGCAGGTGCAGTTTGGAGGTCTTTTTGTGTTGGAAATTTAACCAATACTGAACTGGGGAGATTTTTGAGGTCTTCAGGGTCTGGCAGAGGAGGAGAGACTGGTGTCCTCAGAGTGGTTGCTACTTGAGTAGAAGGCTCTTTGGGAGCCACAGGTGCCATAACCAAGGCAGCAGGGGAAGTTGGTTCTATATTACTTATGGGACCTGATGAAATTGGAGGAGAAACACAAGTAGCTACCTCAAAGGTAGTAGCTGCTGCATCAATTGTACAGGGGTTAGTCACCACAAGTGGGGTGGTTCCAACAGAAGAAACAGGCATTTGGGCCACTAAAGGATAATGATGAGTGGCATTAGGAGAGCTTTTGAGAATGAGAGAGGTCGTAGGAGATAATGAAGAGGAGGTAGCTACATTTAAGGAGCCAGAAGGGCTGTAGGTTATGCTAGTGATGGTAGAGGGACCTTTGTCAACAGATGGAGCCACCACTGGAAAGGCAGCCACAGTAGCAGGAACTACCTCATTTCTGGAAGGAAGGGGAGGAATTACAGATCTCTGAGAAGGATAAGAGTCCCCAGTGGAAGAATGATCTATAGAAATGGTCTTCATTGTAGGGTCTGTCAAAGCACTGGGACTTGTTTGACCTAAAGGTTGGACAGAACCAAAAGAACTTTGATACAAAGGTGCAAGATGAGAGCCCAGATAAATGGGAAAATCTGGGGGAGTGTTGGGACCCACAGTCTTTTGAGAAGAGGTCACCACAGGAAGAGACTGAGTTGAAAGAGGTAAGGCAGCAGATGGACTAACAGGCCCCTTTAGGCTGAGGCTTCCTGGGTTTTGCGGAGAAGTTAGAGCTGAGGAAATGGTGGTATCTTTGACTTGAAGGGAAGTGATAGCTAGGGTAGTTGTGGGTGTTGTCTGAGGAAGGGAGGCCATTCCAGATTGAACAGAGGCCACGGGAGTCACACAGTGGTAAGGAACGGTACTGACTATACATGAAGGACTGGGGGTGCCTTTTGGATTAGGGACTACCTCAGAGGGAACTTTAATAAGATTAGTCTTTGGTTCTGAGGGAGCAATGGGAGCTGACAGTGATATCACTGACCCTGACTCAGCTACAGCCACTGAAGGAGGTGAAGAAGGAAGGTTAGGTGGAAAAGCAGAACTCTTCTGAACTGAGTGGGGAGCCAGGGCAACCAGAGCTAAGGGAGCTGAAGAGGAAGGCGTCCCTTTCAGAGTTGGAGCTATCATGGGAGAGGCCAGAGCTAAGGCAGCTGGGGAGATGGGAGGCCCTATTAGGTTTGGTAGGAAAGTTGGGGCTTCAGGGGCAGTTCCCAAAGGTAGGGCTGTTCCAGAGGATGACTGGGTAAAAGGAACTTCAAAAGGGGTCGAGGCAATAGTAGAGGGGGAAGGGAATGGGGCAGCCTGGTTAGCAGTTGACAGAGGGCACTGTTGTGGGGCAGGAGAGCAAGGAGTGGGGAGGGTTTGTCCAGGCTGGCCTAAGGCAGCAGTGACACTCAAGGCTGAAGACATAGGTAGCACAGCTGGAGAAAGGCAAAAGGAGATAAAGAAAGGGGGGGGGGAGGAGAAAAAAGGTGAGTTATGCAGCCCAACTTGGTACAACATGCCTCCTAGGACACACTCGAGTTTAAAATCTGACAGTCTAAGTGACCACGCAGGATTAGATAAAGGTGACACGCAACAACAACCTTCCCCAAACATTTTTCAGCAGTCAAGTGAGAAGACATTCCTCTCCTAATTTCTCACACTTCCCCAAGTTCTATCAAAGTAAACCAACTATTTTAGGGTGAGGAGAACAGTCTAAGAGTAGCCTATCTCTAAATGGGGAGCACAGACACTTGGGAGGTTGGGAACAACATGCTTTCTACCCTTTCCCAGTTGTGCTCTCCCCTTACTTCTTAAAATGGACTGTATTCCCAAGTCTTTCTCACAGCCAACAGAATTACCACAAAGAACAGCTAGCTATGCTACTCTGTCCACCCAAATATCATGAACTAACGGAAAAAATACCAAAAACTGGAACAAAGAAGATAGTGAGCAGTGATGATGATGGGGAATCTGAAGTAAGAAAAAACAGGCTTTTATACTTTCAGGCTTCCACTAGGCTAGGAAAAATCTGAATACAAAAATACAAAAATTAGCTGAGCGTCGTGGCACGCACCTGTAATACCAGCTACTCAGGAGGCTGAGGCAGGAGAATTGTTTGAACCCAGGAGGCGGAGGTTGCAGTGAGCCGAGATTGCACCACTGCACTCCAGCCTAGGCAATGGGGAGAAACTCCGTCTCAAAAAAAAAAAAAAAAGAAAAGAAAAAAGAAAAAAGAAAAAAAAAAAAGAAGTGAATTGGAGTGGCGAGAATACACTTGATCCCCACTCCTTAACTTGGAATTTAAGTATTTCATTATGTCAAAATACACCAATATTTGGCATGACAGTAAGACAGTATTTCTGGCATTCAGGAGGTAACACAGAATTGGATCAACAAATGCTCAATGCTTAGAAGGCAATGTTAAACGGGGGGAAAAAAAAGTCCGTGGTACCAAAATTCAAATTCAAAATTCACTGAACCAGTAATTTTGAAGTTCTTATGGCATGCTACCATGGAAAAGACAAGGTGGCTCAACCAGTTTTTCCTGTAGAGTGGGTAGGCCAAAGTCTAACGATTACAGGAAAACACTACCAAACATAATGAATCACAAAAACATGGAATATATTTTCTTCTGACTGTACCTCAAATGGAATAAGGCCCCAAATACTTGCTTTGATACCATAACCAATTCCTTGAGCTTCCTACTTCATTCTAATAGACTGTCATTACAGACAAAATCCTGCGTATTTATCATTGGTACTTCCTTAATATAAGCCTACTATACAACTCAAACTATTCAGGAATACATTTAATAGCATTAAGGACTGTTTCAGAAGTAAATGCATTAGTTTTGAAGCTTGAATCAGATTTTTCTAAATTCATCTGAATTTCTTTTTTTTTTTTTTTTTTTTTTGAGACTGAGTCTGGCTCTGTCGCCCAGGCTGGAGTGCAGTGGCGGGATCTCAGCTCACTGCAAGCTCCGCCTCCCGGGTTTACGCCATTCTCCTGCCTCAGCCTCCCGAGTAGCTGGGAACACAGGCGCCGCCACCTCGCCCGGCTAGTTTTTTGTATTTTTTAGTAGAGACGGGGTTTCACCGTGTTAGCCAGGATGGTCTCGATCTCCTGACCTTGTGATCCGCCCGTCTCAGCCTCCCAAAGTGCTGGGATTACAGGCTTGAGCCACCGCGCCCAGCATTCATCTGAATTTCAAGTCTTCATATTTGTAAAATTAAGTTGTTCAATGACACAATCTCTAAAATCTCATTTTGTACTGAAATCACAGAATCTTTAGAGAAGAGTACTTTACTTTTTCCCTTCCTTAAGCCCCTTGTACTTCAAGAATTTCATATTGTTTATACTCCAGCTCAGAACTCCCCATTCTTCCTAGCAGCTGTATTAATCCCTTCAGCTGCTAAAATCAAACAGGTGGGAAGCTTAATGCTTTCAACCATAAGCAACTCTACTGTAACTCCAAAAAGGGAAAGGACTTGCCCTTAAATAACAAATGAAATAAAAAAAAATCATAAAAAGGTGAGAATGAAGATTACAGCCTGAAGAGTCCCTTCATTTAGCGCTGCACAACTGACTCAGAAAGGCTATCATTTTAAGAACTTTTCACTACCTCCTCCTAAGTTTTTTACAGAGATATGTTTTAACCAGAATTTAAAAATTAGCCTTCACAGTCACTACTTTCAACGTTGAGGATAAAAGAAGGATTTATTTCAATCCTGGGTTTCACACAATGATGCAGGAACTATTCCAGCACACTAGAAATATCTCAGCACCACCAATCCATAAACAAGTTATACGACCTAGGAGGACTCTGGGGCCCAGCAAGACACACTTACCACCAGCACACATCTCATCCAGACATGTGATAAAGGCACAATGCCAAGCTCTGCCAACTAAAACCTTGATGCAACTTGCTGGCTGGAGCTTCACAAATGCTCCGGGCTCCTTGGCCTGTGTCATCTAGTTCCAATAGGTAAGAATCACCGAGCCCCTTCCCTGCTCAGTTTTCCTATGTGAGGTGGGGGTTTCACAGGAGAGCTTCTTTAGAGGCAACAGGCATAACAGAAAGCAAGCTAGGGAACTTTTAACGTCCACGAATCTTAAAAACATTACTTTTACTCCAAATTCCTATAGAAGTAACTCCAGGATAGTAATTTTACGGTCTATCCTCCTCGGTAAAGCTGCAACTCCATCCTCTTACACAGTGTACTTCCTCTTGGTCATTTTGCCACCAAATGGCCTTAGGGTCAATTTTAGTTAATGGCAAGGGGGGTAGGGGAACCTACCTGTCTCAGCCTGGGGCTGCGGCAACTCCTGCTCTGTAGCAGGGACGGTTTCTGTGGCTTCTCCGGGCATTTCTGAAGGAAGGGAATATAAAGGAGGCCTGAATGATTGGGATACATTCACTTGCCCAACCCAGAGACAAGTATTCTTAAAAACTCCGTGGAGGGCCGTTAGAAAAAAACCGTGAGGGTGTTCGGGGACAGCCTTCCCCAAAGCACCTGGGAATAAGAGGTAAATATGTGACCCTTACGCCTCTATCAAGGCCAGCAATTCCCAGTTGCATTCTCAACCCGAGGGAGAGGATCCAGGGCTGGCTCCCGATCATAGGCGACTTCAGACGCTACCGTGAACCCTCTCCACTCCTAATACTCACACTGGCTAGGCAGGGGCCTCCTGGACTACGTTTGTCGACTTTGGGGACCCAGGAGGGGAAAGACGGTGCTGTAAGTTCAACACTTGCTTGTCACAATGAGAACGGTGTTGGAGGTTCTAAGGCTGTGACCCCTGACCCTTTTCTGGATCCCTCAAAGCAGTTCCCAAAACAAGACGCACTTCTCTTCTGCCCTCAACACTGCAACTGCTTCCATCTCTGCAGGCTCGGATTCCGGGCCCGGCCCGCAGCCCTTCTATTCTGCTTTTGCCAGGACACCAACCGCAGACCCCATTTTGTCAGGAAGCCCAGGGGCGAGTAGGAACCCTGTGGCCCCGTAAAGCCTCCAACTCTCCTTAACTCTCAGTCCCCGGGGCAGCTTAGCCCGAAAGAAAGGCGGATGGCTGCGGATAGAGAGTAGCGGCACAGAAAGTACTTACTGTTCAGGGAACGCAGAACCAAGATGGCGGCAGAAAGAGAGCGAGCGAGAGCGTGACCCACGCCTGTTGCAGAAGGAAGCCTGGAGCAGAAGGGGTGGGACTAGGATCCGATTCCGGGTCAAGAGCTGCCGGCAGCCACTTCCTTTGACGAGTGGCCGTCAGGCCGTTCCCACGGTGGGGGTGGTGACAAGGACTAAATAAGGGTAAGAATTCAGAACAGGACTCGCAGGCCTAGCAGGAGCTCTCTGCGCGGAGCCACGCAGTCCTCAGAACGAAGCAGACTCCGCCCTCCAGTCCGCAAAGTGGCGACTGCGGTATTAAGGCGATCTAGCGATTTCTCAAATAGCTCGGGAAGATAAGACATTAAATAGCGAATGCTACAGAGACTGTATTCACAGCGTTGGAGGGTGGAAGTGACCTAGGCTAACCAATTATTTTTGGAACACATGATGTGAAAATTAACATTTAAAAGCTGCTGGACGCTCCCCTACCAAAAAAACAAAACAAAACCCATTTTAAAACTTGACAGATGTGATGGGTCACATATAACTTCAGATTATAAATTTAATTCGATTTATTTTTCTTGTTCTGTTCAATGACTAGAGAGACTCAAACGATGTCACCATATGACAGCAACTCATGAGTGTTAAACTCTCCGTAAAACAATGTTAGCTGTACCCCACCTCAAAAAAAAAAAACAAAAAAAACAAAAAAAAAAACACTGCTTGTAACCAAATTCTGTAATTATGCTCCAACCTTGTATAGATAACGTAATCCAGCTAAAAACTTCTCTGTCTGCCTAAGTAAATGAAATCTTAACTTCCCTACTTCTGAAGGCTGACCTCCATTCTTTAGAGTTGGTTTTTTGGTTGGTCTACCCTCACACTGCCCTTGAATAAATTCTTTAAACAGATTCTGGCCCTTTTGATTGTTTTAGGTTCACGACGGTTTAGGCTAATGTTGAAATTATAAAGCTGCAGATTCTCCTTTCCAGAAAAAAAAGAACATAGGCACGTATACAATTCCTTTGCTTGCTATTTTGGGCACTTCTTGGATTTTTTTTTTTTTTTTTTTTTGAGAGAGTCGCTCTGTCAGCCAGGCTGGAGTGCAGTGGCATGATCTCAGTTCACTGCAATCTCCATCTCTTGGGCTCAAGTAATTGTCCCGCCTCAGCCGCCTGAGTAGCTGGGATTACAGGTGTTTGCCACCATGCCCAGCTAATTTTTGTTTTTTTTTTTTGTTTTTTTTTTTTTGAGACGGAGTCTCGCTCTGTCACCCAGGCTGGAGTGCAGTGGCCGGATCTCAGCTCACTGCAAGCTCCGCCTCCCGGGTTCACGCCATTCTCCTGCCTCAGCCTCCCGAGTAGCTGGGACTACAGGCGTCCGCCACCTCGCCCGGCTAGTTTTTTGTATTTTTTAGTAGAGACGGGGTTTCACCATGTTAACCAGGATGGTCTCGATCTCCTGACCTCGTGATCCGCCCGTCTTGGCCTCCCAAAGTGCTGGGATTACAGGCTTGAGCCACCGCGCCCGGCCTAATTTTTGTATTTTTAGTAGTGACAGGGTTTCACCATGTCGGCCAGGCTGGTCTTGAACTCCTGACCTCAGGTAATCCGCCTGCCTCAGCCTCCCAAAGTGCTGGGATTATAGGCGTGAGCCACTGTGCCTGACCTGTTTTGTGTTTGAGACAGTCTCGCTCTTATTGCCCAGGCTGGGGTGCAAAGGCGGGATCTCTGCTCACTGCAACCTCTCCATCCCGGGTTCAAGCGATTCTCCTGCCTCAGCCTCCTGGGTACCTGGGATTACAGGCATGCGCCACCATGCCAGGGTAATTTTTTTTGTATTTTTAGTAGAGACGGGGTTTCTCCATGTTGGCCAGGCTGGTCTGCTCCTGACTTCAGGTGATCCGCCTGCTTCGGCCTCCCAAAGTGCTTGGATTACACGCGTGAGCTACCGCCCCCAGCACTTCTTGGATATTTTAAACTTATTCATTCTAGGTGTCTGGGACCCCACCTTAAACCATGCTATGTACAACTGTATTTTTGAAAAGTAGAATGTAAAATCAGTGTTGTGTTAATGAAAAGGCTCCCATTTCTTTCCATAGCCCTACAAAAGAACTCAACAAATATGTGCTGTACCTGAATTAGCTAAACCAGTCAACGCTATTTTATTTTTTTTTTTTTTGAGGCAGAGTCTCGCTCTGTCACCCAGGCTGGAGTGCAGTGGTGTGATCTCGGTTTACTGCAATCTCCGCCTCCCGGGTTCAAGCGATTCTCTTGTCTCAACCTCGGAGTAGCTGGGATTATAGGTACGCGCCACACCGCCCGGACTCCTGACCTTAAGTTATCCGCCTGCCTCAGCCTCCCAAAGTGCTGGGATTACAGGTGTGAGCCACTGTGCCTGGCCTGATTTAATAGCTTTAAGACGACTGTGGCCGCCTTTTTTTTTTTTTTTTGAGATGGGGTCTCGCTCTGTCACCCAGTCTGGAGTGCAGTGGCGTGATCTCAGCTTACTGCAACCTCCACCTCCCGGGTTCTGGCAATTCTGCCACAAAAATTCTCCTGTTTCACCGTGTTGCCCTGGCTGGTCTCTAACTCCTGAGCTCAGGCGATCCACCCGCCTTGGCCTCCCATAGTGCTAGGATTACAGGCGTGAGCCACGGCACCTGGTGTGGCCGCCTTTTAAGGGAAGCAGTGAAAATTTAAAATGCTTTGAAAGCTACTTTAACATTTCTGAAATCCTTAGTGTAGTGAAATGAGGATTAGGATTGGTGAATTAGAATAAAGTGAGATAGTAGGGTTTACCAGGAATGGGAAATTCTGAAATCCTCCTCAAATAGGAGAGGCAATATTGTGGAGTCATTACAGACAGACTCTGAAATAAGACTCCTTTGTTTGAATCTATTAGGTCAGTTTAGGCAATTAAACTATATGTATATTCATCTCAGTTTCCTGATCTGTAAAATGGGAAAAATCGTAGCTACTTGATAGGATTATTAGGAAGATTAAATTAGTCTATGTATACACACACACTCTCACACTCTAATTGGAAGGAAAAAGAAGCAGTCTTATCGCATAAAATTATCACATGTAATCTTTATATAAAACTTAAAAAGTTTGTTACTATTAAATTGTAGATATAATCAGTTTCTACCTAATAAATACATGATCTGGAAGATTTTCAATGCAGTCCTTTAGTCCATTTACCTTCAGAAGGACCAGAAATAACCAATCTCCTTAGACAAAACTACATATTGACAATTTTTCTTTCTTCCCCAGCAAGCCCACTTACTTTTTCCTCTCTCTGTGGTAATGAATAGCCAAGAAAGAATGTATTTTTTTCTTTTCCTTTTTTTGAGGTAGGGTCTGGCTCTGTTGCTCAGGCTGGAGTACAGTGGGGTGATTATGGCTCACTGCAGCCTCCGCCTCCTGGGCTTAAACGATTCTCCCACCTCAGTCTCCCGAGTAGCTGGGACTATAGGCGCACACCACCACGCCCGGTTAATTTTTGTATTTTTTGTAGAGACAGGGTTTTGCCATGTTGCCCAGGCTGGTCTTGAACTCCTGGCCTCAAGTGATCTGCTCACTCGGCCTCCTAAAGTGCTGGGATTACAGGTGTGAGCCACCATGCCCAGCTAGTGTTTGTCAAGTTGGCAATTTTGAAGATAGAAGCCGTTTCTGTGACTCTTTTGTTTCTACAGTTCTAATATGTTACTGAATTGGCAAATCAAGAAAAGGGGAAGTCAATAGTCTTTGGGTATATTTTTGCTGTCTTTAAGAACTAAACATTGGCTGGGTGCCATGACTCACACCTGTAATCTCAGCAGTTTGGGAGGCCAATGAGGTGGACTGCTTAACCCAGGAATTAGAGACCAGCCTGGGTAAGATGGCAAGACCCCATCTCCACAACAAAATAAAACATAAGCCTGGCAAGGTGGCGTATACCTGTAGTCCCAGCTACTCTAGAAGCTGAGGCATGAGGATCCCTTGAGCCCAGGAGTTAAGACACTTTAATGCTAGACATACTTATAAAACGATAATGAAAGCTTAAAATGTCTCTTTTTGAGGCCGGGCGCAGTGGCTCACGCTTGTAATCCCAGCACTTTGGGAGGCTGAGGCAGGCGGATCATGAGGTCAGGAGATGGAGACCATCCTGGCTAACACGGTGAAACCCCGTCTCTACTAAAAATACAAAAAATTGGCCGGGCATGATGGCATGCGCCTGTAGTCCCAGCTACTCAGGAGGCTGAGACAGGAGAATGGCGTGAACCCGGGAGGCGGAGCTTGCAGTAAGCTGAGATGGTGCCACTGCACTCTAGCCAGGGCTGCAGAGTGAGACTCCGTCTCAAAAAAAAAAAAAAAAAAAAGTCGTCTTTTTTAAAAGCATACCAATCTTTCCATTGTCCTGAGTTCTTTTTTTTTTTTTTTTTTTTTTGAGACAGAGTCGCTCTGCCGCCCAGGCTGGAGTGCAGTGGCCGGATCTCAGCTCACTGCAAGCTCCGCCTCCCGGGTTCACGCCATTCTCCTGCCTCAGCCTCCCGAGTAGCTGGGACTACAGGCGCCCGCCACCGCGCCCGGCTAGTTTTTTGTATTTTTTTTTAGTAGAGACGGGGTTTCACCGTGTTAGCCAGGATGGTCTCGATCTCCTGACCTCGTGATCCGCCCGTTTCGGCCTCCCAAAGTGCTGGGATTACAGGCTTGAGCCACCGCGCCCGGCCTTTTTTTTTTTTTTTTTTTTTTTGAGATGGAGTCTCGCTGTGTCGCCCAGGCTGGAGTGCAGTGGCGCGATCTCGGCTCACTGCAAGCTCCGCCTCCCGGGTTCACGCCATTCTCCCGCCTCAGCCTCCGAGTAGCTGGGACTACAGGCGCCCGCCACCACGCCCGGCTAGTTTTTTGTATTTTTAGTAGAGACGGGGTTTCACCATGTTAGCCAGGATGGTCTCGATCTCCTGACCTCGTGATCCACCCGCCTCGGCCTCCCAAAGTGCTGGGATTACAGGCTTGAGCCACCGCACCCGGCCCTGAGTTCTTTACTGATTAGTTCTGGACTAATGAGTCTCTAGTGATTTTGTATTCAGGAATTTTAATTGACCCACTGTTTCTAGAACCTGAAGACTTAATAACCTATAGTACTTAATAACCATATTAAGTACTTAATAAGACTTAATAACCATAAGCTCAAATAATGAGGAATTTTTGGGCCAGGCAAGGTGGTTCATGCCTAGGAGGCCAAGGCGGTGGATTGCCCGAGCTCAGGAGTTCGACACCAGCCTGGGCAACATGGTGAAAACCTGTTTCTACTAAAAATACAAAAAATTAACCGGGTGTGGCGGTGTGCGCCTGTAGTCCCAGCTGCTTGGGAAGCTGAGGCAGGAGAATCGCTTGAACCCGGGAGGCGGAGGTTGCAGGGAGGCAGATTGCCCCACTGCACTCCAGCCTGGATGACAGAGTGAGACTCTGGCTCAAAAACAAACAAACAAACAAACAAAAAACCAAACAAATAATGAGGAATTTCTTTTTTTTGAGATGGAGTTTCACTCTTATTGCCCAGGCTGGAGTGCAATGGTGCAATCTTGGCTCACTGCAACTTCTTGCCTCCCAGGTTCCAGTGATTCTCCTGCCTCAGCCTCCCAAGTAGCTGGGATTACAGGC